TTGTTCAGTATTTATAGATGAAAATGACGGAAAGGGGCCTCAGTTAGGAAAAAGGGCAAATTAGTCATTTGTTACATGTGAGTTTACAGAGGAAGAGGTTCTATTTCAGCTGTCAGAAAGACAAATAATCAATGGGACCTGATGGAATACACCCAAGGTTATTAAAAGAGCTTAGTGGTGTACTAGCAAAACCATTAACAGATTTATTTAACCAATCATTGTTAACAGGAGTAGTCCCAAAAGATTAGAAGTTAGCGAATGTTGTGCCCATTTACAAGAAAGGTAATAGGGAGGAGTCGGGCAACTATAGGCCAGTAAGCCTTACTTCAGTAGTGGGGAAAGTGATGGAAACCATGTTAAAGTATAGGATTGTTGAACATCTAAAAACGCATGGATTTCAAGATCAGAGGCAACGTGGGTTTACTTCAGGGAGATCATGCCAAACTAATCTTATTGATTTTTTTGATTGGGTAACATTGGGTAGACATTGCTGTGGCAAACCTAGCCACTTGGACAATACAAAGAGACTGTGCCTTTAAGGGTTGCCTGTATGTCTAGATAGATATGTGCTTCATTTCATGTGTATGCTGTATGTATGTTTTGCATTGCCTTTTGCTGAATGCAAATGGCGGTTTTGTATGGGGGTTTTCTTTCGTTTCACGAACGGCACTTTGGAGAGCCGTTCGTGAACCGAACGCGATACCCCCTAATAGCCCACACACTTAGAGGCGTGTGGCGCTAGTTAACCGATTGCAACATTGTTGCAATCGGTTATCAGAGGCTCTCCTGGGTGGCCGTCGTTCGACTACCGACCCTGCGGCGGTCGGCCATCTTGGATCCTTTGTTCCCTCAGCGGTGCTAGGTCGTCGAACGCACAGTATTACAAATAGCTATTCGACGGCACGAACACCGCTGAGCCTCCCGGACGTTCGGGAGTTTCAGGATCTTGTTCACTAAAAGCAATCGGTCCTTTTTGTATGTTTTAGAAGAAATGTGTTTTTCGTGCGGCGTTCGGTTATTTTAGCTGGGATCTGAGCGGTAATCTCACGAATGATGCGCTCAGACCCCAGCTATCTACCAAACGTCCATTCGTGTAAATCCACCATATATTTAACAAGTTATGTATTTTTGTTTAAATTGTCGGTTCTGCTGCACGAGGGGATAATCCACTTAACGGTGCATTCTGGGAAGATGATCCCTCTCGTGCAGCAGTGCCTGATGGGAGAAATATGCTGTACTGTAAGTCCCCCATGTAGTCCCCTCTGGGAGTGCCCCTGGGAAGGGACTCAGGAAACCCCTTGCATGGGGACTTGTATAAATTGTCCAGCCGATTAAAAGGATTTCAGTTGACTCTCAGAACTGTGTCTCGTCCGGTTACTGGGAGGTTGGGGATATTGCCTTGTTGTTTCAGCGCTTGACTGTGGATTCGTTTCTGAACCAGCGGAATTCGTGGATTATTTATTGGCGTTCCGCTACAATTGCTTACCTAGATTTCAGTAAGGCTTTTGACACTGTCGCACATAGAAGGCTTATCAATAAACTGCAATCTTTAAGTTTGGATTCCAATATTGTTGAATTGGTAAGGCAGTGGCTGAGTGACAGGCAACAGAGGGTTGTAGTTAATGGAATATATTCAAAGCTTGGACTTGTCACCAGTGGAGTACCTCAGGGATCTGTACTTGGACACATTCTCTTTAATATTTTTATTAGTGATATTGCAGAAGGTCTTGATGGTAAGGTATGTCTTTTTTCTGATGATACTAAGGTATGTAACAGGGTTGATGTTCCAGGAGGGATAAGCCAAATGGCAAATGGTTTAGGTAAACTAGAAAAATGGTCAGAATTGTGGCAACTGACATTTAATGTGGATAAGTGCAAGATAATGCATCTTGGACGTAAAAACCCAAGGGCAGAGTACAGAATATTTGATAGAGTCCTAACCTCAACATATGAGGAAAGGGATTTAGGGGTGATTATTTCTGATGACTTAAAGGTAGGCAGACAATGTAATAGAGCAGCAGGAAATGCTAGCAGAATGCTTGGTTGTATAGGGAGAGGTATTAGCAGTAGAAAGAGGGAAGTGCTCATGCCATTGTACAGAACACTGGTGAGACCTCACTTGGAGTATTGTACGCAGTACTGGAGACCGTATCTTCAGAAGGATATTGATACCTTAGAGAGGGTTCAGAGAAGGGCTACTAAACTGGTTCATGGATTGCGGGATAAAACTTACCAGGAAAGGTTAAAGGATCTTAACATGTATAGCTTGGAGGAAAGACGAGACAGGGGGGGTATGATAGAAACATTTAAATATATAAAGGGAATCAACACAGTAAAGGAGGAGACTATATTTAAAAGAAGAAAAACTACCACAACAAGAGGACATAGTCTTAAATTAGAGGGACAAAGGTTTAAAAATAATATCAGGAAGTATTACTTTACTGAGAGGGTAGTGGATGCATGGAATAGCCTTCCAGCTGAAGTGGTAGAGGTTAACACAGTAAAGGAGTTTAAGCATGCGTGGGATAGGCATAAGGCTATCCTAACTATAAGATAAGGCCAGGGACTAATGAAAGTATTTAGAAAATTGGGCAGACTTGATGGGCCAAGTCACATTTTATGTTTCTATGATTGAAGTAGGCTGAATTTGCGTTAGTAGTGAAACTCGCCATATCCGAATGAGGGCAGAATACAGTAAGAAGAATGTATGAACCGAATCGAGGTATCACTGTGACGCTATGTATGAATACGTACTGAACTGCGAATGCCTCCTTAGTTAGTGTTACGCTACTTGGGTTATTTGGATTGGAACTCAACTGCCGCTTGTAGAACTCCCTAATTACAATAGTGAAGAAGCGGAGAATCTTTAAAGTATCAATACTGTAGCTTTAAGAAAGGAGAGGATTGCTGGCACTTTGAGAATCAAATGAAGTTTTAATAATTGTTAAACTTAATGAATTGCATTTAGGCAATAATCCGATAGGAATAAGTGAAAGTCATTAAACAATACAAAGTTCATCAATAAGTATTTCCTCAGAGATATATTAAATAAGATTCATTAGGTTGCTAGGAATAATCTTCAATAATGGTATTTAGCAGGTAGCAAAGTATTTGCAAAGCAAGAAACAGATCCTAGTGATTAAGCTTGATGGGAGTTGTCCTCCATATAATTAGTAGCTTGAAGCAGAGAAGTTTTAAGCAAGCACTAAATAGTTAATCAATAAATGAGATAGCAGAGAATAGCTGAAAGGTATACTTAAGGTCAAGGTGAGTTATCCTCCAAGAGTTCAAAGTTATAATCCACTTGATAATTAACAAGTATCAGTTCTCCAGTAATCCTTCATGGCATGCAGTATCATCCATGCATTAGCTCAAAGGCTAGGACGGCTTGTCAGAGTCTATGGAGCCGGCGTGTATACCAGGAAGTCGGTCCCACATTGTCAGAGTCTATGGAGCTGGCGTGTATACCAGGAAGTCGGTCCCACATTGTCAGAGTCTATGGAGCCGGCGTGTATACCCGGAAGTCGGTCCCACATTGTCAGAGTCTATGGAGCCGGCGTGTATACCCGGAAGTCGGTCCCACATTGTCAGAGTCTATGGAGCCGGCGTGTATACCAGGAAGTCGGTCCCACATTGTCAGAGTCTATGGAGCCGGCGTGTATACCCGGAAGTCGGTCCCACATTGTCGGAGCCTCGGGAGCCGGCGTGTATACCCGGAAGTCGGTCCCACATTGTCAGAGTCTATGGAGCCGGCGTGTATACCCGGAAGTCGGTCCCACATTGTCGGAGCCTCGGGAGCCGGCGAGTATGGTGGAAGTAGGTCACACAATCACCAAGCGCCCTCTCTCTGGCTCGGACTGCTTAAGTACAGTCAGAGCCGCGTCAGAGGGGGGCGGGGTCACATCCGCATCGCGGAAGTGCCAAACCCGGAAGTGTTACCTAATGACAGTTAGTGAAAGGCTGAACATGGGGCGAATACATGCTGAATGTCAGTTATAGTGCTGCCCACAAGCTTACTGTTTTGTAGTAATAAATGCGCGAACAACAGGAAATCCACGGCTGGGCCCCATGAGCTTTGATGGAGATGGCTGTTTTTGTTTTTTAACTAGAGTGAAGTAAAATGAATACTCGCGTGGGCCGGACGCAGCGGTCCCCCAGGAGCTTCTAGGGAGGCGGCTGATGTTTACTAGAGTGAGGTCAAATTAATACTTGCATGGGCCGCACTATGCCAAGTCCAGCTTGTTTGGAGTTTAGGCAGTTTGTGTTAACGACCTTTGAACTGGAAGTAGATAGTTCTGTACTGACCAGAGGAAGGGGAGGTCTGAGTATTTATAGGCTGGGTAACTCCTCCCACAACCACAGGCTCCACCCACATGAACAGCCTTTACACACACATATATATATATATATATATATATATATATTTATTAAATTTTTTTAGTTTTTTTCAATGTTTGGTTGATTTCGTTTAGGTGTTATTAAAGTATTGATGCATTATTAGTGTATTACATTACTAACTGCGGTTATTGATAATGGTGATTTCATTGACAGGGCCAGTTGTTGCTGGAGTGGTTGGGACTAAAATGCCTCGTTACTGCTTGTTTGGAGACACTGTGAATACAGCTTCCAGAATGGAGTCTACAAGTCAAGGTACAGACCTGTCTAAGAAACATATTAATGACACTTCCATTCACTGATATTCAGACTGTGAGTACAGGTCTAATGAATTAAGGTATAAACATGCTCCGGGAAACAGTAAAACCATACAGCGCATCAGTGCCAGGATACAGCGTGTCAGTACTAGGATACAGCGTGTCAGTGCCAGGATACTGCATGTCAGTGCCAGGATACAGCGTGTCAGTACCAGGATACAGCGTGTCAGTACTAGGATACAGCGTGTCAGTGCCAGGATACTGCATGTCAGTGCCAGGATACAGCGTGTCAGTACCAGGATACAGCGTGTCAGTACTAGGATACAGCGTGTCAGTGCCAGGATACTGTCAGTGGATACAGCGTGTCAGTACTAGGATACAGCATGTACAGTCAGTGCCAGGATACAGCGTGTCAGTACCAGGATACAGCGTGTCAGGGATACAGCGTGTCAGTACCAGGATACGCGTGTCAGTGCCAGGATACAGCATGTCAGTGCCAGGATACAGTGAGTCAGTGCAGGATACAGTCAGTGCAGGATACAGGAGGATACAGCGTGTCAGTACCAGGATACAGCGTGTCAGTACTAGGATACAGCGTGTCAGTGCCAGGATACTGCATGTCAGTGCCAGGATACAGCGTGTCAGTACCAGGATACAGCGTGTCAGTACTAGGATACAGCGTGTCAGTGCCAGGATACTGCATGTCAGTGCCAGGATACAGCGTGTCAGTACTAGGATACAGTGTTTCAGTGCCAGGATACAGCACAGTGCAGTGCCAGGATACAGCGTGTCAGTACCAGGATACAGCGTGTCAGTGCCGGGATACAGTATGTCAGTACCAGGATACAGCGCGTCAGTAGCAGGATACATCGCATCAGTGCCAGGATACAGTGTGTCAGTACTAGGATACAGCATGCCAGTGCCAGGATACAGCATGTCAGTGCCAGGATACAGCGCGTCAGTACTAGGATACAGTGAGTCAGTGCCAGGATACAGTGTGTCAGTGCCAGGATTCAGCGTGTCAGTGCCAGGATACAGCGCGTCAGTGCCAGGATACAGCGTGTCAGTACCAGGATACGGCGTGTCAGTGCTGGGATACAGTATGTCAGTACCAGGATACAGCGCGTCAGTAGCAGGATACAGCGCGTCAGTACTAGGATACAGCGCGTCAGTACTAGGATACAGCATGTCAGTGCCGGAATACAGTGTGTCAGTACTAGGATACAGCGTGCCAGTGCCAGGATACTGCATGTCAGTACTAGGATACAGCGTGTCAGTGCCAGGATACAGCGTGTTAGTGTCAGGATACAGCGTGTCAGTGCCAGGATACAGCGCGTCAGTACTAGGATACAGCATGTCAGTACTAGGATACAGTGTGTCAGTACTAGGATACAGCGTGCCAGTGCTAGGATACTGCATGTCAGTACTAGGATACAGTGTGTCAGTGCCAGGATACAGCATGTCAGTACCAGGATACAGCGCGTCAGTACTAGGATACAGTGTGTCAGTACTAGGATACAGCGTGCCAGTGCCAGGATACTGCATGTCAGTACTAGGATACAGCATGTCAGTACCAGGATACAGCGCGTCAGTACCAGGATACTGCATGTCAGTGCCAACATACAGCATGTCAGTGCCAGGATACAGCGCGGCAGCACCAGGATACAGCGCGGCAGCACCAGGATACAGCATGTCAGTGCCAGGATACAGCGTGTCAGTACTAGGATACAGTGTGCCAGTGCAGGATACAGCGTGTTAGTGCCAGGATACAGCGTGTCAGTGCCAGGATACAGCACGTCAGTACTAGGTTACAGCGCGTCAGTACTAGGATACAGCGTGTCACTGCCAGGATACAGCGCGTCAGTGCCTGCATACAGAGTGTCAGTACTAGGATACAGCGTGTTAGTGCCAGGATACAGCGTGTCAGTGCCAGGATACAGCGCGTCAGTACTAGGATACAGCACGTCAGTACTAGGATACAGAGTGTCAGTGCCAGTATACAGCATATCAGTACCAGTATACAGCGTGTCAGTAACAGGATACAGCGCGTCAGTGCCAGGATGCAGCATGTCACTGCAAGGATTTAGCGCGTCAGTACTAGGATACAGCATGTCAGTGCCAGGATACAGCATGTCAGTACTAGGATACAGCGTGTCAGTGCTAGTATACAGCGTGTCAGTGCCAGGATACAGCGCGTCAGTACTAGGATCAGGGCTTGAGTCCTGCAGGAACGCGTTGGAACGGCGTTCCTGCACTTTTTTTTACAGCAGGAACGCCGTTCCCGTTGCTCCTGAAAGCACTCAAATGCCGCCCGTTTTCCACCTGTCATGGGAGAGCCACCTGATGGACTGCCCTGGCGGGCGCCTGTCTCCCTGTCAGATGCAGCAAGGGAGCTGTGTTCTCTCTGATCCCTCGTGCGCCGGTTGCTGATGCTGGGAGCCAGAATATGACGTCATGTGTGTGTCTGTGAGTGTGTGTGTGTGTCTGTGAGTGTGTTAGTGTGTGTGTCTGTGAGTGTGTGTGTGTCTGTGAGTGTGTGTGTGTGTGTTAGTGTGTGTGTCAGTGTGTGTATCTGAGTATGTGTGTGTGTCTGTGAGTGTCTGTGTGTGTGAGTGTGTGTGTGTGTTAACCTGTCAGTGTGTGTGTGCACGCGTTTATATATGCATACGAGTGTATATTTTTGGGGGGGCAAGAGGGGGCTGGATCTTGGGTAAGTTCACACACTTTATTCCCCAGGACTTGACCCCTGGCTAGGATACAGCGTGTCAGTACAGTCTGTTGCGATTTAAACTCTTCTATACTTTGTATCAGCTCTGAAGATCCAGTGCAGTTCCAGTGCAGCTGACCTGCTGAAAGAGATGGGCGGTTACATCCTGAGCTGCCGTGGTACACTGGATGTCAAGGTAAGTCTTTTTTCTCTATATTTCTTGCTCTGTTTGAGCTCAAAGTCATCAACACACAAATTACAACCTGAGCGAAAAATTAACAGGAGTTTAAAAATACACGCATTTATCTGCTAGAAACAAACCATTGGCCGTTATATTCCACACCACACACACACACAGACACACACACACACAAAAAAAAACAATTCAGAGCCCTGTACTTTCTCCACTTTTTGTCACTTGTGGCGGACCGCCTGGTACCCCGACTGGGTACCTCCAAACATGCCCTGATCTGAGCGCTGAGGTTCTGAAAGTGTGAAGAATCACCCTCCACTCATTCGATTCTCTCCCTCCCTGCTACTGTATTCCTTGGATTTATTACCTTTATTACTAGTTCATTCGTTACTTTCATTTCGGTCTGTGCACGGGGGCTGTGCAGGATGTTGCTCCAAGTCACAGTACAGGTAAGGACACAAGCAGGAGAATCGTCAAGGGTAAGCCAAAGTCAGAGAATGCCAGAAATCAGGATACACAATGCGGATAAGCCAAGATCAGGAGCCAGGAACAAATGATCTGGAAACTCAAAAACAGGAACCAGACAGCAGAACCAGAGTCAATGATCTGACACTGTCCTCAGGGGTAGGCAGTGTCTAATTAGGCATCTGCTTCAGGTGGGCTGAGATGATAGGAGCAGCCACAGGTAACGTCCAGCTCCCAGTGCTGGAGACAAGGCAGGAATAAACATCAGGCTGAAACAAGACCTGGAGTGTGGCTCTAAAGCAGGAATTCTGGGGCAACCATGTCTGGATGTTACGGCGAGAACCGTGACACTCTACGTCACTTCCCTCCCTGGAACAGGGTCCTGGATCCAGCTTCTAGTGATTAAAGCTCTCCTGCAGAGAGTATAGCTGTATAGCTGGTACAACCAAACACTAGTCGAGACTGAGTGAAGGGTGTAAAGCAAGCATGCCAAACTCGCAGGCCGGATGTGGCCCACAATGAATATTTTTTTAGCCGCCAGTTTGCACCTGCAGGTGCCTACTGTGCTAAAATTGACCCGGCTGGGAGAAGAGGGAGCGCAGTCTTCCTGCTACTCACTGTCCCTCGCGCTCGCCCTCTGTAGTGATGCCGGAATATGATGTCATTCTGGCACCCGGCATCACTAAACTGTGCACGCGAGGGAGCAGTGAGGAGCAGGAAGACTGAGCTCCCGAGAGAAGATCCCCACTGGACCCCAGGGACAGGCCCCACACCAGCTCCCAAAGGTAGGGAGCAATAAAGAAAATGATGGGAGTGTGTGCAAGAATGTGGAAATGTGTGTGTGTGTCTGTCAGTGTGTGTGTCTCTGTCAGAGAGTGAGTGTGTGTGTCTCTCAGTGAGTGTGCGTTGGTCAGTGTTACGATGTCCGCGGCTGGACAGTGGAGGACCTGGAGGTGCACAAAGGCACGCAACACCACATCACATTTTGTCGTGACGTCAACGTGCTCCACTTTCACAGGTTTTCAAGGAGTAGCGGGAGGATCATATTTGGCACAGGGAGCAGACGTTGCCATTGGGGGTATACCAGAGGCTGGACTCCAGAGTCGCATACTGGCAGCAGCAATGTGAGTGGAGTCTGCTTGTTGGCTAATATTGTGGGGGGTTTCTTTCTTTTTTTTAAACAAGGGCTCGAGTTTAGTAGAAGGAGGTGCTGGGATTTAGTAGAGGGGGATGCTGGGATTTAGTAGAGGGGGATGCTGGGATTTAGTAGAAGGGGGTGCTGGGATTTAGTAGA